TTTTTTTTTGTATGCTTTATTTTTATTTACAGTAATCACATAATCTTTTTTAATTATATATTTATCACTTGATTGATGGGTTTTCTTGATGTATATATTAAGTCTTAACAAATTCTTATATATGAATTTAATTTGTCTTGCATGTCATAATTTTATGTTGCCATACTATAATAACCATATTAACAAATATTGCTATTATTATTATTATTATCAATATTTTCTACCATAGTATTTTTGTTTACCTTTAATTAATATTATCAATATTAATTAACTTCTACCAATAAAATATTTGTAAAATATATATAAAAAAAAGTTGATAACATCATATTTAAATATCTGACAATCCATTATTGCATGCAAGGAAAATTGGTCATCCAAAATGAACCCTCAATAACTTTTGAGTCCATATATAGTACAAGTTTTTTTTTTTTTTCATCTCATATTATTCAAGATTTTGGTAACATGTGGTGGGGTCTTTTATTTACTGATTTAACTTTAAAGTACAAGGAAATGGACTTGATATTACAAGTATAATAACATCTTCTTTTCTAAAAACAAATAATGACTGCAAGAAAAATTATATTTCACATATTTCCATCCATTTTTGCTCCTTTTTTTTTGAACTCTTTTGCTTTTCCCCATATCCCTTCATTTGTTTGTTTTTCTCGATTTTCTTTGCGAAAATATGAAAGACACAAACAACGTTCTGATTTGCCTCTGCATAAAATATAGTCGTTTTTTTCAAACGAACGTTATTTACGTTTTCTTGTAACAAAACATATTGTGCAAAGGCCCCAACACGTTTAAAAGGAGGGACTAATCGTGTTGTTATGTCGTGCTCGTGTATTTATATCTCGTATTTTCGAGTTATTAATTTACTCTATTTAACCGTAAACTTATGTTTTACCCTTATCGTGTTTCATGACGGGTCATTTCATGTCCGTATCTGCATTGCTTGACAATTAGCTCAAAGTGTATAGTACTATTATGTTCATATCATGTTAATGTTAATAATAATAATAATAATAATAATAATAATAATAATAAAAGAAGAAGTGAACGAAAATGATGCGCACAAGACAAACGAGCAAATAATATGGACATATGTTTACCACTATCTAAGAGTCTAAGACTTGGCCCTAAAGATTTCTCTATTGTTTTTCCTTTTTAATTCTATTATTTCCCACTAATATTAGTCAATTTGCTCTACCTATTCTTTTTAATTCTATTATTTCCCACTAATATTAGTCAATTTGCTCTACCTATTATCAGGGCGGAGCTAGGATTCAAAAAACGTTCCCGGGCTAAGGCCATCGGGCTGAACCTGTAGAACCTTAGAACATGTAGAAGCCATCAGGGCATTAACTAACTAGAATTTGTAGAGGGCACTCGGGCTGAGGCCTGGGTATAATGGCTATTATAGTGATGAATTAACTGAATAATTATTGAAAATTTAAGGATGTTTTTTGTTGGAATGTTACTTGTGAGTTGTCCCACATTGATTTGATAGGGTAAATAGGCCTAACTTATAAGCCTAGTGGGCTACTCCTCCTACTACCAATTAGTTTTGGGATGGAACCTCACTTGGGCTTCATTTGGGCTAACCCTCTTATGGTGCGCTTCACCTGTGTGGGACCGCACTCGTATTGCCTCCGTTTGACATGGTATCAGAG